GCTGCTGAGCGAGCGCGACGCAGCCAGGCACAGGCTGGTGGTGCTGGTCAAGGACAATGGCGAGCCTCCGCTGTCTGCCAGCGTCACGCTGCACGTGCTGCTGGTGGATGGCTTCTCCCAGCCCTACCTGCCGCTCCCTGAAGAGGCGCCCGAGCGCGCGCAGGGGGACTCGCTCACTGTCTACTTGGTCATCGCCTTGGCATCGGTGTCATCGCTCTTCCTCTTCTCTGTGCTGGTGTTCGTGGCGGTGAGGCTGTGCAGGAGGCGCAGGGCGGCGCCGCTGGGTGTCTGCTCTGTGCCTGAGGGCCACTTTCCTGGCCACCTGGTGGATGTTAGCGGCACTGGGACCTTGTCCCAGAGCTACCAGTATGAGGTATGTCTTGCTGGAAACTCTGGGTCTGGTGAGTTCAAGTTCCTGAAACCAATATTCCCCAATCTCTTGCTTCAGAACACTGGGAACTAAGGAAAACCCTAAAATAACTTTTATAGTTTTGTATTTAATTATTGTATTTGTTTCAGTTAATCTATTAATCTGGGCAACTATTCTTACAATACCTTTCTCAAATATTGATAACACTATACCAACAATATTCTTTCTCTGGTAGTGCTTAATATATTTTTTGTGTATGGTTGATATTCATTATAATTAGCATTTAAATGACACTATTTATGAGTATGTGTTTTCTCCCCATTTGACCTTCTTGGTGAATACTATTTCTCTAAGTAGAAATTACTCAAATAGTGCTCAAATTTTATTTTTAGCAACTTCTTAAATTAGTTAATATTAAAGCTTTTATGAAACCTTGAATTGTTATTACTTGTAGTGCCAGTGTTTACTATATAACTTCCTCTTTCAACTCTAGAGTGTTTGAAATTTCGTTTTATTTCATTGGTGCTGGGTATAGATGCTCAAATTTCCTGCATGCTAATCAAGCACGTATTCCACTGATCTTGACACCCAGGTGAAATTCTTTATATTTATCTTGGCATTTCTCATTGAGTACACTACCAACTTAAGCTCTCTGAAGAAATGTAAGCATGATACTTAGGCATAATTTTTTTCTCCCAAATTGTATATAAATATTTACTTTGTTAAAATGTCTCTGTACTAAAACTGTGGCCTGTTATGAGCAACACATGTTAGAGATTATCTTAAACATTTGTTACTGCATATCTACTGCATTATATTTTCATAAACATTAATATTAAATTAAAAATAATTCTCATCTACAAATACTAAAGAGAACATCTTTGTAATGTCTTATTTGTTTCACTAAATGAAACTGTTAAGGGGCTGAGGGCATGACCCAATGGTAGAGCATGCATGCATATATGCTAAGCCTGGTTTCAATTCCTAGCACCAAAGCAAAAAAAAAAATTTTTTAGAAATTCTGTTAAAGAACATCTTGGTATAATCCTTTAAAAAATAATCTTAGAATCTGAAATAAACCCTAAGCTTCTCCAAAGAATTTGGGACTCCTGAGGGCATCATATATGTTCTTACCCTTTCCTTTTGGCCCATAAATACAAGTTTAAGTGTAGGAGACTTTTGTTTGTCGTTGTCACCACTAGGTATGCAGTAACCAAATAAGTAATGTAATATCTAACATCATATATTAAAATAAGTAATATTTTATTTCTGAATACATTGGAACAGTAATTAATTTACCTGAATTATAATTGTTTTTGTTCTATTCAATAAGCCAAGTAGGTGAATTATGTGATTTCTAACTAGTAAATTTATATGAATAAAACTATAAGAAAATTTCTTTGGAATTTTGGCAAAACATGAACAATTGAAAAGCTTGCTATAATCTAAACACATTTGTGTTATAATCTCAAATATCATTCTACTGGAGTTTACAGTACATGAATTTTTCCCCAGAGTTACTCTTTTTTTCCTCTAAGGATAAAATGAAATAAAAAAGGTAAATTACTTAACATTTGTTATTCTTGAAATATAATTTTCCAATTTAAGTTAGGAAGAGAGAAAAGTGAGAAAAGAAACACAAACATGTAAGATACAAATATAGAAGTCAATGGTAATGACTTCTCCATTTATTAGAAATTTAAATTAAATAGTTTTATGTATGATAATAAGAAATAGGGTTGAAGGTTTTACCAATATATTTCAACACACAAAAATCCAAGTTCATTTTTGTTTATGCTAGGTTAGTCTAATTTATATAATCACCTAAATGACACCGGACAAATAAACACCCATTCCACTTTATCCTTGGAAAAAGAATGGATCACTCCTTACCAATAAGAGCCCATCACAAGGCTACAGAACAGATCGACTTTTTGAAATTCACTAATTGGAATTTAGCAGCAAACACTGTAAAATTTCACAACATGATATACCTCATAAAATGTGCCAGTTTGATGGCCACAGGAAAAAAAATAGAGAATGGAAGAAAAATATCTTAATAATAACACCCATTTAAATATTTTTTTGTCTCTCAAATATACACAACTTTTGTAATTCCTTTGCTGTTGTTTTAGGCACAGCATGTAGTGAGTTCAATGCATTCTTTTTGGGAAGCAAATAGCACAGATCACTCAGATTGTCTCTTCATAATCAAAAGTTGCAAAAATGTATTTTTTAAAGTGTTAAGTTAAAACTCATGAATACATTTGATGGAATTCTGCTTCCAGGTTAGATGGATTATCTGGCAGCAAAAAGCAACCATGAAAATTGGCTAAATATCAGAAATTACCTCTCTACAGCAACAGAGGTCAGATGATAGGATAAGAAATGAGTGGCTCAAGATTTCTGAAAAGAATGCTTTGGGGTGAGAACTAAGTCCTACAGTCAGTTTTCTTCCAAGGAAATTTGCTAAGTCAGGAAACAACAGATTCTTAACAGGGACAGACTAACTTCCATAGCCTTTAGTAGTCTGTAAGATTCAAGCTCAGGATCAGTTTCCCCTTTCAGGTCACTTGTCAAACTCAGCACAGTCCAGGGCAGAAGTCTAAAAACCCAAGTGGAAAATTCTTAGAAAGCAGGATGAAATTTTCTTTACTATTTGAAGATTAGGGTTTGGGATCTGCCATGGGAAGAAGCATAGAAAATATACCAATTTTTCAATTGACAATTCTGTAGACAAGGTACTTTTTAGGATAGTAAGGAACCTTGACTAAACTAAGTGCCTTTCACTTCAGCCCAATTTGACTAGTTAGAGTTCTATCAGGCCAACAGAGGAAAAAGTGAACCCTCCTGGTTCAATATCACTTTGATCCTAGACATCTTTTTACATAAATATCGAGAATTCAGTTAAAAGTTACAAGCCACCTACACACAAAACTGGATGATCTGAGTAAAATCAAGAGAAAAAACACAAAACAAATGACTTCCAGATAATCTAGATAGTAGAATTAATGTTAGAATAAGCATGAATAATATGTCAAAAATAAGGAACAAAAGAGAAAATAGACGTATAGAGAATTTCACCTGACAATTGAAATCTTAAAATGGACATTCATTCTTTAGCTGCAAAATTATAATATTTGATGTAAAACTGTTGAAATAGTTTAATGTCATAGATATAAAAGACTACAGGATTAGTGGAAGTGAGACAGATCAATATAAAATATTCAAATAGGAACCCCAAAATAATGAAAAACAACATTAATGAAAAACTCTAACTTACATATGATTATAATCCTAGAAGGATAAGAGGGAATAAAGTGGTAATAAACAATATTTGAACAGTTAATGACCAAGAATTTTCCAAAATTGTGTCTTTAAGTCTTCAAGATACTCAGAGAAACCCAATCAGGATAAAAATTTTTTAAAAGTCAAAAATCAAAACCAAAAGTCAAGATACAAGTCAAAGAGAAAAAAATCTCAAAAGCTATCACCTAAAATATCACATATTACTTTTAAAGAAGCATTGGTAAAACTAACCTTCAACATGTGTTCTGAAACCAAAAGAAAAAAGAATAGCTTTTAAAGACAAGAAAATTATTAATAGACTATAATTCTATCACCAGCAAACATTTCCCTCAGCAATGAAGTTGTCAAAGAAACAAAAACTGACAGAGTTAATCACAGTCACACCTGCACTAGTAGAAATACTTCCAGTGGAATTCATTTAGGCAGAAAGAAAACAGTTCTAAAAGGATCACAGATTTGCAGGAAGAAATAAAAAGACAGGAAGGGTAAATATAAATGAGTATTGATTTAATGTTGATTATACTGGGCACTATCAGTAGTTTCTTTAAGGATTTAAAATATGCATTAAATTTAAGTTCATAACAACAACAACAATGTGAGAGGTAGAGGCACAGATTTGGAGAGTCCTAATGTTTTAATTAAAATTATAGTGATATTCATATCAACAATTTGTATTAGATTCTTATAGATCAAAGATCATGCTGTGATTTCTTGAATAGCCTCTTAAAGAATAACTAAAAAAACTATTTGATGGGAAATTTTTATATAACAAATATTTGAATGCCAAAAGAAGAACAAAATTTCTGGGATAAGTAAAAAATAATTAGATGTTAATTATAAATGGGAATATATCAAATATTACATTAATAATACAATTAAGCTAATAGTATTGTACACCAGATTTAAGAAAAACTCAATATTGCTATCATATGTATGTGTACGTGATAGAACACAGAAAATTGAAAGTTTAAAAATGAAATAAGGTATGTACTACAAATACTAGCCTTTTAGTGTAGCTATATTCACAAAAGACCAAGGAGACTTTAAAGAAAGATACATTGCTAGGAAGAAAGAGAAATGTTTTATAATAATATGAAAATATAACAGAAATATGTGAGAAATATTTCCCCATAAGAAATATTTTTACTACAGAGTAAAAAAAATCAAATTGATGAAGTACAAATAAAAAGTAGACAAACCACAAACCTCTCAATTCTGATAGAATAAGAAGACAAAACACATATGTGCCCCTGTATATACACACATACACACATACAAGAATATTGAAGATATCAATAACACAAAACATATTGAAATACATCAACATCCATAGCACACTCATGCGTACACAATTTTGTTACACATATTTGAAATATGAAAATTGCCCATATTCTGGGTTATAAAACAAGCCTCATTTTAAAATAAAAGACATTGAGATGACTCATTATACTTTTTGACTACAGCAGAATAAAGAAAAAAGTGAAAATATGACAAATCCCCAAGTGCTTCAAAATTAATTAATAAAACCCAAATCAAATTTGAAATCACAGCAGAAATTTCCAAACATTTTCAAATATGCAAAGTTTAAGAACTGACGCATATACTCCACTGAACTTCTATTCTGTCTGCCCCTTAGTGTGGATTAACTTCCACATATTAGAGAATACATTTGAACTTTAATTTTTTTTGGATTGACCTATTTCACTTAGCATGATAGTCTCCGATCCATCCATTTACTAGCAAATGTCATAAAGTAATTTTTCTTTATGTCTGAGTAATACCCTGTTTGTATATATGCCACATTTTCTTTATCCATTCATCTGTTGGGCACCTAGGTTGGCTCCATAGCTTAGCTATTGTGAATTGTGCTGCTGTAAACATTGATGTGGCTGTATCACTGGAGTAAGTTGATTTTTAATCTGTCATAATCTTCATATGTATGTACATGAATAAACCACAGCAAATCTCACCATTGGGTACATCCAACAAGAAATTAATTTAAGAAAAAAATTATGGATAAATGGCAAAAAGATCAATAGAGGGAAGAGGGAAGGGGGTGAGGAGAGGGAAGGGGAAGGAGAGGTACTAGGGTCTTAATTAGAACAAAATATATTCAATGCTTCTATAATAATGTCAAAATGGATTCTAATGTCATGTGTAACTAAAAAGAACCAATAAAAAGAATTTTGCAATTTAGTGGTGTACAAAATTTTAAAAAACTTGACATACAGAACTTGAGAATTTAAAATCTTTAATACACACATTAAAGAAGCAAGACTGAAAAATCATATAAGCTTTCATGTAAAGAAGCAAGAAAAATAATAGCAAATCAAATGCAAAGAACAAAGATTGGGCTGGGGATATAGCTCAGTTTGTAGAGTGCTTGTCTAGCATGCACAATGCCCTGGGTTCAATCCCCAGCCCCCACCCTCTCCCAACACACAAGAACAAAGGTACACTTACCCAAGCAAAAATAAATAAAAGATATGGAAATATATAAACAGAGAAATTCTACAAACTTAAATGTATTTCTTTGTAATATTAAATAAAATTTAAATCTTTTAGATGAATCAAAAAAAAAAAAAGAAAAAAAACACCAACTCCCAATATTAGGAATGAAAAAAGAAACATCTTTACCAATCCTACAGATTTTTAAAAATATAAAAAGGGAATATCATGAACAACTTTATGCCAATAAATTTGACAACTTATATAAAATATTCTTTAAAAATCCAGTTTTCCAAAAATAAAGGAAGAAGAAATAGAAAATCTGATTAGTTATATCTATTAAAGAAAGATGCTATTAAAATCTATTCACTTCACAGTGGTGAATTCTTTCAAATAATTATGTAAAAATTTACATCACTTTGAATAGAAAAATTAAAGGTATTTCTGGAATGATTTGGGCACCAGCACAATTTTTAGTAGTTATGACATCCCACCTGAATTTGACAGTATCAGAAAGAAAGATAACAAACGAATTTCTTTTAAAAACATATATAGAAAATTTATTTTAAAAATGAACAAATAAATTTCAGTTATTTAAGATTGTTAAAATTCATGTAAAACTGGACAAAATAACAAAAATTCACTGAGGGGGAAACAATAATATATTAAGAGAAAATGAAAAATAAAATGATCATCTCAGTGGATAATCAAATGTCATTTGATAAAATTCAGAACACATTAATGGTAAAATTGCTAGCAAATGAAAATGGAAGGGGAATTTCATAGTGTCTGTTAAAAATCAATAAACATCATTAATAGTAATTTATTAAAAGCTTTTCTCTAAAGCTCAAGAACAAGAATAGGATTCTCACCCTTACTACTTCAATTCAGTAGTTTATTATTGGCCCCAATCAGTGGAAAAAGACAAAGAAGGATCAAAAGGCACAGTGATTGGGAGAGAAGAAATCCTCTTTTCAAAATAGATGATTATTGCATAAAAAGCATGAAAAAATCTCTAATTTATTAGCAATTATTAAATAAAGTTAGCAATATCAAGGATACAAGGACAATATACAAATATGAGTTGTCTTTATAATCACCAACAATAAAAAATGAAAATTTTAAATATACTTTACAATAGTTTTCAAAATATCATGTACCTGGAAAGAAATCAAAAGGAATAATTCATAATAACTTTACCCTGAAAAAAATCACAAAACATCATTGAGAAAATAAAGATCTAACTAAATAGAAGAATACACAGTGTTCACTACTTGAAAGACTAAATAATGGGAATGATAGGAATATTAGTTCTTCTCCAACCAGTCTATACATGTGACAAAATCCTAAACAAAATGTTAGCCAATTTCTTTTGGAAAAGAGAAACACTGCATATAAAGTTTGTATGGAAATACAACCAAACAATAAAAACCAAAGCAATCTTGAAAAAGAATAAAACTAGAGATATCACACTAAAGGTATGATCTGACAGAAATAATTGCTAGGTTGAACTTCATTAAAATTAAAATTTTCTGCTGTGCCAAAGATTCTATCAACAGAATAAAATGGTCACAGAGTATGAAAATATTGACAAAAAGCATATTATAAAGGATTATTATCCAAAATATACAAAGATTGTTAAAATTCATGTAAAACTGGACAAAATAACAAAAATTTACCAAAGAAAATAGATAGACAGCAAATAATCAGATGAAAACATGCTCTATATAGATGTCATCAGGAAAATGCAAATTAAAATAAAATTGGTATACCACTATAAAACCATTAGAATGTCCAACCTCTAGATCACTGACAACACCAAATGCTGAGGAAGATGGGAGCAAAAGGAATTCTTATTCAATGATGATGGATCAGGAAGGGTACAGCTGCTTTGGAAGACAGTTTGGCATCTTCTTGCAAAGCTGATACTCTTACAATTGATGCAGCAATTGTGCTTCTTAGTATTTATCCAAAGGAATTGAAAACTTAGATCCACACAAAAACATGCAAGGTGAGGTTTATAGTAGCTATGTTCATAACTGTCAAAATCAAAATATCCATCAATAAGTGAATTGATAAGTAAACAGTGATACACTCAGACTTTATATATTATCATTCAATACCAAAATACATAAATAAATAGCTATCAAATCATTAAAAGGCATGGAGAAAATTTAAATGCATATTGCTATGTGAAATAGTCATTCTCAAATGACTCTATAATGTACTACTCTGACAACAAGACATTTTGGAAAGGGCAAAACTGTGGAGACAGTACAAATATCTGAGGTTTCCAGTGTGTTCAGGTAAGGAAGAGATAGGTGGAGCAAAGATTTTTGGCCAGTTAAACTACCCTGTAAAAGTGGATACATGTCATTTACATTTGTAAAAATTTATATAATGTACAGTACCAGAAATGAACCTTATTTTAAACTAAAGAGTTAGTGACAAAGATGTGTTGATGTAGGTCCACAAATTGTTAAGATATGTACAACTCTAATAGGGGATGTTGATAATGGAGAAGGTTGTGAACTTGTGGGGACAGGGGTATATAGAAAATCTCTTTGTCTTTTGATTTAATTTTTTGTGGGTCTAAAACTGCTCTTTAAAACAGTCTATTGATTTTTAAATGGAGGACTTACCTCTCATAACAAACTATGATAAAGCTATGGTAATCAATAAAATGTGGTATTGCAGAATAAAGAAAAAATTGAACTCTTGAGCCAAACATGTGGTTACCTGATTTAAGACAATGATGTCATTTCAGAAAAGTGAGAATCATCTTCACAATCAATGGTTCAAGGACATTTGAATATTTACATGGAAAAATGACCCTAACATTATTCACTTGAAGTAATTTAAAATTTATTATAGCTTTCAACATGCAAAATATAGTTATTAGTTTTTCAAAATGTATAACAATATCTTTATGCCTTGGAGTATGAAAAAGATTCAACTAGTATACACAAGTGCCGCAGTCCGGCTGCAGCAAAATAACCGGGGGTGACGAATAACTTGTGTAGGTTGATACAGCAGGAGAGGGAGCCGTTTATTGTAGGACAACAGAGCTATTTATACATTTTGCTTATCTTAATTAGCATAAACTAGATAGATCAGTCAACCAATAAGGAATCTTCATACTTAATGGCTTGCTTTTGTTTCTTCTCAAACCACTCCCTCTGGCATTTTGCCAGGCACCATCCAGACTTGTTTAGAACTCTAACATTCCCCTGGCAAAATACCAGGTGTTATTTTGACTTGTTTACAGACCTTAACACACAAGCTGTTAACTAAAAATATATTGATAAATCAGACCAAATTAAAGATTTCTTAATTAATGTCACCATAATAAATTTTAAATACAATCATGGAACCCAAGTTCTATGTGTAACCATTAAGGTCTCAAAAATTATAAAAAATACAAGCATAGAGTGGGAAGACATATTTGCAATTTACGTATTTGAAAAAGATATTTCTAGAATATAGAATTTCCAGTATAAGAAGGAAACAGGCAAACATCCCAAATAGAAAAATATACAAAAGACTTTTACAAGCTCTTCATGATAATATAAACTAATGGCCAATAAATTTGTGAAAATGTGTATGATTTCATGAATTACCAGGGAAATGCTAATTAAAATCACAATATGCTATTACCACACACTGAGTAGAGTGGCTGAAACTGAAGAGACAATATCAAATGTTGACAAGGATATGAAGAAACTGGAACTCCCAAACTTTGCTGGCATTACTATAACTATTTTTGAAAAAATATTTCACAATATTTGAAGATCTAAATATATGTGCATGCATTAATGCACAACATTCCAAATCCTATTAACATATTCAACATACATAGTGATAGAACAAAAAAAAATCTCAAAACTGGGAAAACCCCAATTTCAGCCACTGTAGAATGTATAAACTACATGGTATATTCATACATCTGAAAAATATAAACCAATGTGTACAAAACACGTTAGAACAACATGACACAGAACAATTTCACTTAATATAATGCTAACTGAAGAACATAGACAAAATGCTAATACTGTATAGCTTTATTTGTATGAAAATTCAAAAAAGAGCTGAGATAGCTATGATAGTAGAAGTCATGATAGTGCTTGCCTTTTAGGAGGGAAGATAAAAACAAAGAAGGGGAATTCTTGGGTTTTGGTAGACTTTCAATTTTTAATCTGGAAAATTCTTATAATAGTATATACACTTTGTTAAAATCCACTGACTTGAGATTCACTGTATGTACATATGTACGTGTGGTCAGATTCATCCTATCCCTCCATTTTACTCTTGCCACTACTCTACTGATCTTTCCTCTGTTTTGATGGAATACCCCCAATGCCTCAGCCATTTTGCCACTAGCTTCCACATATCAGAGAAAACATTTAAATTTTGACTTTTTTGAACTACTTTGGGACTGAATTAGAGAAATTATTTTGTATGCTATTGAGATTGTCAAAGTGTATTCTAATGTTATGTCTAACTTTAGAAAATGATTATTAAATACACACACACACACACACACACACACACACACACAGCATTAAACCTAAATTCCTGCCTTTAACAAACAGTATTTCACTGAGTTGTACAGTTATGCTTTGTGACTTTTTCTGGTGGAATGTTATATTTCAAAATTAAAGTAATTTTTTAAAATCGAAATTTTGTCAATATACAATATTATTAATTTCATAAAAATAATAAATTATAAACACAAAGTTCCTTTATGTACTCAAATGAAGATAAAACGATAAAGATAATATATCAGTTTACTTTGTTCTTAAAGGCATTCTTTTACTGAAAATTAACTCAGGTGATATTTATTTAAAAATTCTAATAACTTGGAGATAAAATAAGGCACGCTTTTGTGGCTTAAAAGGGTATGGATATACACCAGATTTAAAATTTGGAATGAAATGGCAAATATTATGTGCAATAGTAAGAAAGGACACCTGGTGGCGCTGCAGGCTAAGAGTGTGAATAATGGGCTCTGGATGACCAAGGACGCATTTGAGCTGGGAAGCACTCTGAAAGCTCCTTACAACAATGAGGCATTTTAGGTGAGCTCCAGGAGACAAATCTTCAGAAAGGTCTTCGTTCCAAGCGCATAAAAACAGAAACATTTGACCAAATCGTCTGAGTGGATTGCATACAACTAAAAGGAACTGCACCTTCTGGACCCGTCTGAACAATGGAGGGAGAGCTAGATAAAACGCCACGGAAAAGGCAAGTCATTTTTCTTGCTATGCTGTTGTTTTTGTGGGAGGCTGACTCTGAGGCAATTAGGTATTCCATTCCAGAAGAAACAGAAAGTGGCTACTCTGTGGCCAACCTGGCAAAAGATCTGGGGCTCAGGGTGGGAGACCTGGCCACTCGGGGTGCGCGAATCCATCACAAAGGCAGCAAACAGCTCTTGCAGCTTGATGTAAAAACCGGCAATTTGCTTCTACAGGAAAAACTAGACCGGGAGGTGCTGTGTGGGGCTACAGAACCCTGTATATTGCATTTCAAACTGTTACTAGAAAACCCAGTGCAGTTGTTTAAAGTTGATGTGCAACTGACAGATATAAATGACCATACTCCAGAGTTCCTAGACAGGGAAATGATCCTTAGAATCCCAGAGAGTGCACAGCAAGGGACGATGTTTCCTTTGAAATCAGCTCACGACTTTGATATAGGTAGCAACAGTGTTCAGAACTATGCAATCAGCCCCAATTCCTATTTTCATGTTGCTACTCACAATCGCGGAGATGGCAGAAAATACCCAGAGCTGGTGTTGGACAAAGCCCTGGACCGGGAGGAAGAGTCTGAGCTCAGTTTAACCCTCACAGCACTGGATGGTGG